GGTATGGGTAGTAGAGAATTGTATATAGGAGAGAGAGAGTATAAATAATAACAATAATAATAATAAGGAAGACCTTCATATTACAGTGAGATGTAAGAAAATAATTATTTTGGAAATACAACCAATCCAAATAGATTAAATACATAAACAAAACACAACAAGCAACCAAACCAATTAAACCTTGATCACTGCTGAAAACTCAACAAATTTATGTAAAAATCAAGAGAAATAAAATTCAAAACTACAAAAAAAAAAGGGGACTCAATATTGAATAAAAATCCCTCACAAGTGATGTACAAATCAACATTACCACCACTCACTAACATTTGGTAGTAATAAAGAGTAAAAATGGGAGGAAAAATGATTTTATAAAAGAAATTCAAAGAAAAAATATTGGACCTAACCAATGCATCCACTTCAACATGATATCCCACCACACAAATAAACACCAGATGAATAAAACAACTCAACAACAATAATAACTCATAATAATGGCTCATAACATACAGCAACAAACACTGAGAAACTGAAATTTCAGGCTTGACATGGAAGTATCACATAAAAATTCAAGCACACAAAATTCACACTTCATTCATACCAGTGAAAGAAGAAAATCCCTCTCTCTCTCTTCTTCTTCTCTCTCTATAACTGAAGAGAAAGACCCAAACTAAAACAGAGGCAATGGCACGTGACAGTTTCAGAGGGAAGACACATGTAAGTTGTGAGGAGACACCGTGTCGCGTGTCCACATCATCAGGGAGATCTGATAACTTGCTAACTCTGTTTAAACAGGTTCTAAATATAGGCTGGGAAATGATCTCAAATACCCCTGACAAATTAACAAAACCCATATTTTTAGAAAAAAATGAAAGTGGCCAATTCTTCATAGCTTTATTTGGTACTAGTAGAGTGCACCTGTGTTCCGGTGTTATTAAAATGTTATGCATGTAATTTTTTTAATTATATTTATCAAAAATAAATTTATAAAATCTAAAATGAAATAAAACTTAAAGTGAATTCCACACTTAAATAAAAATAATAGTTTCTCACCTATGTAGGAAAAAAGCGAAAGAGAGATGAAATATTTTTTATAACGAAAGAGAGATAAAATACTTTTCTTAAACAAACACCAAATACTATTTGATTGAATAGACATAAATTTAGCGAAATGAAAAAATTATTTATGTATTATGTTAAATAACACATAAAATTTTGATATATCAAATTAAGTAACATAGACATATTATTATTATTATTGTTAATTCAATTACAGTAATATTTCTTACTTATAAAAATAAATTTATATTATATATTTATTCATAAATTATTAAAATAGATTAATATGAAAAACCCAAAACAATAGATTAATATTATTTAATTAAAATTCTATAACATAATAGTTGTATCTATGACTAATAAAACTATATTTAATATCATTAGACCAAATGAATTATTATATATTTTCCAATTATCAAAGTATAATTATTATAGAAAAAGTTTATGTAGAGCCGAGGATCTAAACAATCAAATTAGAGCCCACCTCAAAAATTTCTCTAGAAGAGATTGTTTTGATGCCTAAATAGCCTCAAGTTGATCATCTCAACATCAAGATGCATGGACATGAGAAAAAAATGGATTTGAAGTTTTAGAAATGGTGCATCTTGTAACGTATTTTTGGACCGCCTATTTTTAAGGTTTAAAGTTTTCATGGATCTGCTCGATCTATACTATTTGTTAAGCTTTGAATTTTTATAATTAAATATTAAAATTAATTTTAAGGCTATCACAAAGATTTTTAGTATTGAAACCGCATTTCTCGACACTATTTGAAGGTGAGCTCTAATTTGATTGTCTAGAGCAAGGCTATTATTATTCATGTACACATACAAATCACATTTATAAAGTCGACCAAAAGTATCTCAGGAAATAAAAAAATTATGTGGAATATATTTTTANAATAATCTTATTATTAATATATAATTATATTTATCAGAATATAATCTATAATTATAAAAAATNTGTGTAATAAAGTATAATA